TCGTGATAGACAAAGAAATAGAAGTCGTGATAGACAGAGGGATAGAAGTCGTGATAGACAAAGGAATAGAAGTCGTGATAAATATAGGAATAGGAGTCGTGATAAACAAAGTGATAGGAGTCACGATAGATATCATAAAGATAGCAGAAGCAATGATGGACATAGAAAAGAAAGACATGAAAAAGAGTATGTTATTTTTTTTCTATAATATTTAAATAAACATAAAGAAATTTCAATTTATCCTAATCTAAAATAATCTCATGTAAAAATTGATTTTTAATATATTTCTAATTTGTTGTTTAGAATTGAATCAAAAAGCAAATTTCCAGAACTGGGAAAAGTGTATCCTGGCAAAGTTTTGAATATTGTAGACTTTGGTTGTTTTGTACAACTTGATATGTTCCGTCAGTCTCAAGGACTTGTACACATTTCACAGTTACGTCAAAAAGGAAGAGTAACTTCTGTTAGTGATGTCGTTTCTAGAGGTGATAAAGTCATGGTAAGTAATTATTGTTTAGCAACATTGGCATACTTTAAAACTCCGAGAATTTTCAAATAGTAGATTTCAATCTTTACAGGTTAAAGTTTTATCAATAAGTGGCAACCAAAAGATTTCTTTATCCATGAAAGATGTTGATCAAGACACTGGAGAAGACTTAAATCCAATGATACAGCCTGAAGATTTAGGGTATGATGAAATATGTCTAGATAATATAATTTCTTTAATACTTCTGTTTTAATTATTTTAGTGAAGACGATGATATGATGGGTGGCCGTAACCCTGACAGACCTACTTCCTTACTAGAACTGCAGACAATTGCGGATGCTGATGAAATGACAAATTTAAAACGTATGAATAAAATTTCATCTCCAGAGCGCTGGGAAATAAAACAAGTAAATTTAGATAAATAAATTTGGAAATAATTTATTTTCYTAYTTAATTTGCTTTTTAATTATTAACTATAGATGTTATCAGCTAATTGTATTGACAAAAGTGAACTTCCTGATTTTGATGAAGAAACTGGTATTTTACCCAAAGATAACACTGAAGAAGAACAAGATATTGAAATTGAAATTGTTGAAGATGAACCTCCATTTTTACATGGGCATGGTAGAAATCTCCACGATCTCAGCCCAGTATGCATTACAATCAATGGAATAAAATCATTAACGTTAATATTAGGCTATTACACAAGTCACATTGATTTATTTACCTATTTCGTAAAATCATAAATTAGCTTTTTTATTTTTACCATTGAAAATGTATAACAGTTATTTTTATATTTTTTTTAGGTTCGTATTGTCAARAATCCAGATGGTTCTCTTGCACAAGCAGCTATGATGCAAAGTGCATTGTCCAAAGAACGCCGAGAACATAAAATGTTAGCGCGTGAACAAGAAATGGACTCTGTGCCTAAAAACGTTACTAAAAATTGGATTGATCCTCTACCAGATAGTAAATTATATTAAGTTTTATAGTATACAATTTACTAATAATAATCACATATAATATTAAATAATTTTTAGATGATAGTAGACACTTATCTTCAAATATGCGAGGAATTGGTTTGACTGCCCAAGATGTACCAGAATGGAAAAAGCATGTTATTGGTGGTAAAAAAAGTTCATTCGGTATGAAAACCAACCTGACTCTCTTAGAACAGAGACAAAGTTTACCAATTTATAAACTCAAAGATGAACTCATCAAAGTAATACATATATCTTTAAGTGACATTTAAATAATACAAAATATGTTCATATTCATTTGCAATAGGCTGTGACTGACAACCAAATATTGATTGTCATTGGAGAAACTGGTTCAGGAAAAACCACTCAGATTACTCAATATTTAGCTGAGGCGGGGTTTACATCAAGAGGTAAAATTGGGTGTACTCAACCTAGAAGAGTGGCCGCCATGTCAGTTGCAAAGAGGGTATCTGAAGAATTTGGATGCAGATTAGGTCAAGAAGTTGGTTACACTATTCGTTTTGAAGATTGCACTAGTCCAGAGACTGTGATCAAGTATGATTAATAATAGTTATTTATTTAATTTATATTAATATTCTTTGAATCTAACAAAATATTTTTTAGATATATGACAGACGGTATGTTGCTGCGTGAATGTCTTGTAGATTTTGACTTGAAGAACTATTCTGTAATCATGTTGGATGAAGCTCACGAAAGAACAATAAACACTGACGTTTTATTTGGATTATTAAAACAAGCTGTCACAAAAAGGAAAGAACTTAAACTTATTGTAACATCTGCCACTCTAGACGCTGTGAAATTCTCTCAATACTTTTTTGAAGCCCCTATATTTACAATTCCTGGACGTACATTCCCTGTAGAAGTTTTATATACTAAAGAACCTGAAACTGACTATCTGGATGCATCACTTATTACAATTATGCAAATACATTTACGCGAACCACCTGGTGACGTATTGCTTTTCTTGACTGGTCAAGAAGAAATTGATACTGCTTGTGAAATTTTATATGAAAGAATGAAGTCATTAGGACCTGATATTCCAGAGTTGATTATTTTACCTGTTTATTCTGCTCTACCTAGTGAAATGCAAACTAGAATTTTTGAAGCAGCTCCTCCTGGATCTCGAAAGGTAAAATTAAAACAATATTAATATATTATTTAAGAGAATTATTATGAAACTTGATGGTAAGAACATTATCTGTGCTTTGTTGGAAGTTTTTTACGATAATTCAGTTTTTAAGTGAGTTATGTGCATATAATAAATTGTAAAATAAAAATKCTCATAACTCACTTAAAAACTGAATTATCGTAAAAAAAAACTTCCAACAAAGCACAGATAATGTTTTTCCCATCAAGTTTTATAATATATCTGTTATAAATAGATAGATATTCACTGTAATTTTCAAGCTAATGGAATAAAATGTGAACTATCGAGCGTAAATTTGCCGTTAAGTGTTTGTAAGACTGAGAAAACAAATACGGGTGTTGCATCCTATTAATATTGTAAAAACTAAAAATATATTAATACATCAAACCATTAAAATTTATCTTAKAAAATTATTTTATACATATATATATTCTCATTGTTATATTTTTTTACTCAGGTTGTTATCGCTACCAATATTGCTGAGACTTCATTGACAATTGATGGCATTTATTATGTTGTCGATCCTGGATTTGTAAAACAAAAAGTCTATAATTCAAAAACTGGAATGGACTCTTTAGTTGTCACACCAATTTCACAAGTATGTCAATTTTGTAATTACTTTTTATTTACTGTCCTAACACTAATGGTATCCAATATCCATACTATACTCTGTCTCACGAAAAACATGCCAYGCAAAGATGAAAACTAGTTGACTTTGTGCATCCCCAACCAAARTCTTTACAGATCAACTGTGATCATAGCGGTGACGGTGGCATGGTGACCGTAGCGCTGCCGCTCAACGTTGMTGGCAGATTGTATCAACACACGTGGAAGTGATTCYTCAGCCCAATTGGCATAGCTCATTCCACATCCAAAAAACCAGCATGTTTTCTCATGGGATAGAGTATAATTTGTACATTMAAAATATTGTACTAATGTACTAAATATTTWTTTTTTATTAATGGATCATAATATTGTTATATATTAATGTAGTATGAAATGTTAAATTAAATTACTAAAATAAYATTGTATATTGTAATTTTAGGCRCAAGCCAAACAAAGAGCTGGTCGTGCTGGGCGTACCGGACCAGGTAAATGTTATAGACTTTACACAGAGAGAGCCTATCGAGATGAAATGTTACCAACACCTGTTCCTGAGATACAACGTACAAATTTAGCAACCACAGTAAGTTGTTTAGTATTTAACWTCACCTATYACTCAGAAATTCAATTTAAAAATTATTTACTCTCCAGGTATTGCAACTGAAAACTATGGGCATTAACGATTTACTTCATTTTGACTTCATGGATGCTCCACCAGTTGAAAGTTTAATCATGGCCTTGGAATCATTACATTCTTTGAGTGCATTAGATGATGAGGGTCTACTTACCAGATTGGGAAGACGAGTATGTACCTGCTTAAAATTTAAATGTTTAATGATTAAAACTAATATAGATCATATGGTTTTAGATGGCTGAATTTCCATTAGAACCGAATCTCTCCAAAATGTTGATAATGTCTGTTCATCTTCAATGTTCTGAAGAAATATTGACTATTGTATCCATGCTTTCTGTTCAAAATGTCTTCTACAGACCAAAGGATAAGCAAGCRTTGGCTGATCAGAAAAAAGCAAAATTCAATCAAGTTGAGGGAGATCACTTAACCCTTCTGGCAGTGTACAACTCTTGGAAAAACAATAAGTTTAGTAATGCATGGTGCTATGAGAATTTTGTCCAAGTTCGAACACTCAAACGAGCCCAAGATGTTCGTAAACAATTGCTTGGGATTATGGATAGGTAATTATAAAATTATAAATACTTATAACTCTGATATCTTTTTAATTACCTGTACATTTTTGTAGACATAAGTTAGATGTTGTTTCGGCCGGTAAAAACACAGCTCGAATACAGAAGGCTATTTGTTCGGGATTTTTCCGCAATGCATCTAAAAAAGATCCACAAGAAGGTTATCGTACTCTTGTTGATGGGCAGGCAGTCTATATTCATCCTAGCAGTGCTTTGTTCAACCGACAACCTGAATGGTTTGTATTAATAAACAAATTTCAACTAATATTACACAAAATGATACCTAAAAATAAATGTATTTTATTATCAGGGTAATGTATCACGAGCTGGTTCAAACGACCAAAGAGTACATGCGYGAGGTAACAACAATAGATCCGAGGTGGCTTGTTGAATTTGCGCCAGCGTTCTTCAAATTCTCTGATCCAACCAAATTAAGCAAATTCAAAAAGAATCAACGACTAGAACCACTTTATAACAAATATGAAGAACCAAATTCATGGAGAATTTCAAGAGTGCGAAGAAGAAGAAACTAATTTTATTTGTATATTATTAATTATTCTTTATGTATGAATCTATAATATTCTAAATATAWTCATAATATGTACAAGTGGTTATAAATTCTGCGCATTAAATATTAAATATTTATACTTATTTTGCCGTAGCTGATCTAGCAAATTGTACAATCATAGGTTTGTCTTTTAAAATATATCCATTAGTTTCTTTCAGTGCCTGTTGAGCATTTTCTACACAAGGTAATGTTACAAAAGCTTGACCCTTCATGCGTCCATCTTGCATTAATCGTACATCAAACCTGCAAATATTGTACATAAAATGTTATATTATATTTTAAAAAAAATGAATGTAGTAAAGAGTAATAAATATATTTAATTTTACTAACATAGTTCCCGGTTTAAGATCGTCAGATTTGATAAATCTCTTATAAATGTATTTTAAATCATTATCCAGCACTGTTTTTGCTAAATTTTTTATATATAATCTACAAGACGGAGCTCCAGGATAATAGTTCTTAAAAATAGGCATGTTATTCATATCTTTATCTGATAATCTATTAGTAGCTAATTCTTCTCTGCTAATACAATCGCCTGTTATATCATCATCTGACTCACTTTCTTTTTTAGCTTCTTCTTTGTTTGTACTTTTTACTGAATATATTATACCAAAGCCTCCTTCAGTATCAGCAGTTGGCCCCTCGGCCGGTTTTAGTTCTGCTGATACTTTGACTTCAATTTTCTTTGGTACCTCACATTCAACAGTGTCAAAAACATTGGCCAATTCAACTTTGGGCTTTTTTGATGCTGTGATTGCAACATTTTTTAAACGTTTAGGTTTTATGACTTTGTTCATTTTCTTTTTCAATACAGATAATTTAGGTTCTATATTATGATCACTTTCATCATTACTTTCCATTTCTGATTCTGAAAGCTCTGGATCAGTTTCATCAGTAGTGGTATACTTATCTGCAGTTTCTATTTTCATACACTTATTCAGAGGGTAACCTATGACAGGTTCAAAAGGTGCTGGCAGGTTCATACGATTCATCAAGTGTAAGACTTGATAGTAGAATTTCTGATTGCAAGCTAATGCATTGGCAATATTTGACAGTATGTGTRGGTTTGGATCGGGATAACTATAGTGCAGATGATGAGGTGGAGGTTGGTTTAGGTCGATCGCAGCTGACCAACTATTTAATTTTTTTAAATAATCTTCTTGTAACTGTTTTATTTTGTCTGTATTGCATTCAGTTACTGGTAGTGGTTTAGGACATTTCATTAGATTGGTATCAAGATCATTTGCAGACAATTCAACGGTCAACCTATAGCCCAATAATTCTTTTTGATGCAATCGTTGGATAACAGCTTCGGCAAACTCTTGAGATTCAAATCTAAAATTATGAATAACATGCAGTAAATAAAAAAAAAGRTATATAGGTTCTTTGAAAATCTTAGGTACCTTGCATACGCTAAACATCTTCGATGYGTTTTAGATGTCAATATTTTTACATACTTAGCGCCAAAATATTTGAGAAATTCTTCTTTTTCTTCAGACGAAAGCTGTGGAGGAAAATGACGCACAATGATGGTAGCAGATGCCATACTTTTCATATGAAACAGATCACAAAYAATGAAAACCAGTAAACTGTAGTATCCTTTATAGAATACAAGATCCTGAAATAAACCAATATATTATAATCAACAATACAGCTAAAATTGTACCCATACAGTTTTAAATAAAAACTTACCTACGCAGGTGTTACTAACAGTAATTAGGTACAATAATATATTGTACTAACCACTTGGAAAATATTACACATCATTCAAAGATCGAAAAAAGTTATCTATAAAATTTAATAGTACAGTTTAATGTTTGTTGTTTGACTAGTGAACACAAAGTTCTAATTAAAGTTAGATAGGTAGTTAATCTAGTTAARGACTTGACATCAATCCGTTATTTACAATATTTAACAAAATTATAGTATTCCAACTGTAAGTAAACTTTAGTCATGACTCGTGCACCCAATATTTATAATTTGTATAGAAATTAGAAATATTTTGAAAGTTTAGAACTGTACAACAGTACAACCCGCTAAGAACCGCCAATGCAGTTGCCAGTTTGAGTTATCGCTTATCAGTTATCACTTGAACCGCACTAAACATAGATAAAGAAAAAAAAACATCGTCGAAGATCGCCGATCAAAAACGGCGTAAATAAAAWCATWTAAAAATAAAAATTTATATTTTATTTTGAGATAAAAACTTACGAATACCGGAATACGGGCTACGGCAAATGGCAATACATCAGCTCTATCCAGCGGCAATCAAAATAGTTTCATCACAGATTTTTAAAAATTCACAATGACGATGGCACTAAATCTAAAGTTGGAGACCTGACCTGACCCGTTTAAAGATTTTTTTTGCTCATAAATTAATTGTTTCTTGTTAGTCCTTTTGGTTAATAGTATTTAAAAGCAATTTATTATATTATCTACGGCATCTATTAGCATTTTTAAATTGTATTATCTTATAATATAATAGTTAAGTTATAAAYACACGATATACAGGTGTCAGGTATAGGCAGTAGCGTACCCAGGGGGGGACTTAGGGGGCTTAGAGGGCTTCAGCCCCTCCCCCAAAATTGGCCGTGTTTTGGAATACATTTTTTATTATAAAAGACAAAGTACAAACCATGATATTTCTAAAAAACTGTATTGAATACAACGTATTATCTTTAGTAACAATGACCTAGTATAAGCAAAGCATAAACGTTACGTTTATTATGGTACCGAATACCGATATAGATTTAGCCCCCCCCCATTCGAAAATCCTGGGTATAGGTATTATAATAAGTTTAAGTTATAACTTACTTTAAAATTAAAATAAAATATCAATTTAAGCTTGAAAGAGAACATTACGACACAAGTTGATGTTATTCAGATATTCGCTGATGGCTGATAGTTTTCTACATTGTTATTCATATAATAAAGATTTCTTACTCCGAGTTATACATATTTCTGGTTTTATCACCAACTACGACTTAGGTAACTGTAGTTACAAATCCGCATTAATATTTAATACAATAATTAAGCTTTAAGTTAGTGCCACGAAATTATACTTATCCCTCTATATTCATAATATAATTACCAAAATTAGGATATAGAGAACTTTATCTGTGTCGTACCTATTTTTTTTTAATAGTACCTACCTATACGTCGAAGACGCTTTAGAGGCTCTCGTGGGTAACGTGGAAGCATCGATTTCCCAATAGGAACTATATAATATGATGGATCATAATTAGAGAACGGATTTTATTAAATAAGAAAAATGTCCTAAAAAAATACGATTTAATGCCTTAAAAAATGCCCAAAAAAACTTCAAAATGTTTTTAAATTCAATGAAAACATAATTTTGAACATAAAACTTATAAAAAAACATTTTAAGAACTCAACTGTACAATATAAAATTACAATTTAGATAAATAGCTAATCTAATCTTTACCCGATTGCAAGTATATATATGTCGTAACTCGTATGTATGTATATACGCGTGTCAACAATAATTTCGTCTGAAGTCAGGGTTTACCTGTTCGGTAAAAACACGATAAATATTTATTTTTATTTTTTAGGATGAATGTTAATCTACATTTTTATCGAATTTTATCCATTCCTATATCAAAATTACTTAAAACATAAAAATGACTAAAAATGTAATGGTCTTAAAAATGCAAAATAAAAGTTACATTTTCTAATTCCTTGATGTATGAAATTATTGAAATGAACGTTGTGCTTGGAAAGCAATATTTTCAGACATTCAGAAAAAAATGCAATTTGCATTCAAATCCGTTCCCTATAATCATAATATATACCTATATCGTTGGTCTTTCTCGACGTCTTGGTCGTCGTCGCATCTATTATGTGGGCTGTGATCCGTTAGGAAGAAAAGCAAAAATAACTTTATACTTGAATAATCAAATTTACACAAATCGGGTATCATAATAATAATATAGCAAAAACAATATTATTCTACAAAATATGCATAACAATATATTTATTGATATTTAATACATATAGATGAAGATTATACAATTTTTAATTGTGCGTCATTTGTTTTACATATTTTTCTATAGGTACACACAAAAAAGATAATTTTTTTTAAAAGCGACACAATTTAGCCTCCAGGTAGCTGGCTTATGTCAGGACAACGGGATATACATATTTTTGAAATATGGCACTTTCCCATAACATATGGGATGTCTGGCGACCCTAAGTAGGTATGGATCGAAAAATAATTATTAATTATAATATATACGTATATTCTGTCATTATCAAAATCATAATAGCTATAATATCTAAACATTTAAAATTGTATAAGACATTTACAAAAARCACACGTGATATATATGATATAAGAGACATAAAATGCTGATAAAATTTGACTAGTGATGAAGTGATGATGATACGTTTTTTACTTAAATAATAAAATTGCTATCTTAGTTTCTAATGTTATAAAATTTAAAATAATTTAAAGTAAATTAAACGTAATAATGTGATGATTTAAAATATTTGAATAAATCTAATATAGTATAGGTAAAATAATGTGTTAAGTAGGTACATGTGGTGAAGAAATTTTAGTTACAGGAAGTTACAGGAAACTTTGTGAGTGCTTGAGCATTGTAAGTTTGGAGATTATATATACGAGTCTTATAGTTGCAATTTTCAGTAAAACTTACTAATTTGTTATTTTATGGACAAAAATATCTATTAAGCTATACTGTATTATATGAATATCTGTATTTAAGAATAATTATAGTATACCTATTTTTATATAATTACAATTACCCAATAGTTTGTTCTTTTAAAATTATTTTTCATATTTACCCACATATACCGTAACTTTTTAGTTTTTATGTATAAAAGATAATTTAATTAAAATACCATATTTAGGCACCAATAAATATTGTAAATGAACACTTTGAGGTGATGCAGATATGCATATAATCATTAAATAGCTAAATTCCTTTCGATGTAACGAATGTCTCTAACAAGTTTGCTGAACTGCGAAGGATCTAACGAACAAATATGATCTGACCCCTTCATATTTCTGTCCAGTGTGATATGTCTTTCAATAATCTGAAACAACATTAATATAGTTAGGTATCAAAAAATATTTAATAACTTTCATTAAGAATTAATCGTCATTTGTAATATTAAGTTTTAACTAATATTTTCTCAGTGCATATACCTAGTATAATTTCATGATGCCCATGATGGTATTAATACCATTATTGCTCAATTGAATAAATACTATTTACTATTGAGTTCTTTCGTTAGTGATCAGTGTAATTAAATTTAATGTCCTTTAGTTATTAGTTATCAGTATATATTTATTTTATCTTATTTTTGGTGTATATTATACACTGTATAATCAGGCACGTCACCAAGGAAACCTAAGGGGGTCTGGCCTACAAAGAAAAGTCAGTGGTTCCGAACAGACCCCCTCAATTTTATTTTTAAATATTATGACATTATTGACGTTTAATTGTCTTGAATCCTTGATGTATATTATAGATAGGTACTCTGTATATGCTGTATAATTAGCAATCGTAAACAATAAGCAGGGAGGGGTCAAAAAATGTTAGTCCCTATGGGAAAAAGTCTAGCTACGTACCTTAGTATATTAGAATGAAAATATTATAATTTATAAGTCCCAGAATTTTGTAGAGGAACGCAAGGAAAATGAATAATATTCAGGGTTATCCATTTATAGCGTTAGACACTTATCTTGAGTATCTTATATGATGAGTGCACTTCACGTTAAATAATCACCCTGTTTAATAAAATACTAGGTACATACTACAYAGGTTTATCGAATATAGAAAAAAGAATTATATACAACCTTGTTAAATTGTAACACRCAAAAAATTGTATAGAAATTAATATTATCAATATAACTATATAAGTATAAATTGTGGTAAAATTTATCAACATATTAATGTTAACAAATATTAATTATATAGCTTAACTTATAATATCCACGCTATTTTTTAGGATATTTGAATATTTTTATAACATATATGTCAATACATTTTTTATCGCGATATATCATGAAGTTTTATTACTATATAATACACTGACGGACTCTTAACACTTGTCTTGTTGTCTTTATAACGGACATTTTTAATGATCCATTGAGTGTTCTTTTTACAGCAATAAGCAATATAGACAACCGCTCAAGACAGGTTGATTGGGCGGTTTCATTGTATATGTCTGTTTTTGCATAATAAACTCTCATAGTCACCGATACATATACTTACTTTTGCACCAAGTGCTACTGACGCAGCTGTCAGAGAAGAACCCACTTCGTGGCCAGAATAACCAATAATCGTGTTAGGAAAAGTCTTTCGGAGCGTCTTAATCATGTTTAAATTGGCCTCTTCCGGTGGCGTCGGGTACGCGGATACGCAGTGTAACAATGCGAAATAATTATGGTACCGGCTGACTGTCTCGTAAGTGATTCGTATGTCAGCCAGCGTCTGCATGCCCRTAGATATGACCAACGGGACATAAGCCTTGGCTGCCTTTTCCAACAACAACACATTGCCTGATTCACCTGAACCAATTTTCACGAATGGTACTTTGAGATTAACGATGAAATCAAACGAAACCTAAAAAAAATAACAACTAATTACGTATATCAGTAATCATTATATAGTATATGAAACAATATGTTCATATATCTATATATAAAGAGACTTATCCTGAATGATTAATTAACACCCAGACCAAACCGCTGGGACTAGAGAAATTTATCAACATATTAATGTTAACAAATAATAATTATATAGACCAAACCGCTGGGACTAGAGACTTGAAATTTTGTACAGAGGTCTCTTAAGCAATGTAGAGGCGCAATAAGAAAGAATTTTTAAAAATTCGCATTTTAAAGGGTTGCTCAAATGGGGATTTTGAGATTTACAATGGAAATTTTGTTTACAATTTTCGTTTATAAATGGTTGCTATAACAACCTGATTTATGTGTTGACACATTTATCACTTTATTATTACAGCTAATTATTATTATTATTATTATTATTAAATAACGTGTCTTCGTATACACACCCTTACAAAGATTTGTACTAATGGGTTTCATCCTGATCACAAACATTTCATGGAAAGAAAATACAATAACTGCTTCCAAATTACATCTTTTGGAGCGAAACAAATTATTGAAGATGGATTTTTTCCCACATTCAAAGTGAACTCAACAAAACCCTCAATTTCTACAGATTTATTTCATTAGAGATGATGAGAGAGAAACATGCTTAAGATGCAGCAACTTCACTGATGTAAAGCAAAGCATGGTAAAACAATTACAAGTGCAATGTTTTATGTGTTCAGTCGACTGGCAAAAACGTGGTTTGCCATACATACATATTTTATAATGACTAAAACAGCGTATTTTTCCAGATAAATTAGATTGTATCATTAGTGCAGAAATACCTGATCCTGAAAAATATTCTCTTGGTGGAAATGGTGGTTTTGATGTTGAAATAAATGGTAAGAAAATTGATAATCATTGGGTAGTGCCGTATAACCCAGTGCTTTCACGTACATTCGGTGCTCATATTACGAGTAATGTAGAGTACTGTAACTCTGTGAAATCTATAAAATACATTTGTAAATATATTACAAAAGAAARTGATCAAGTAACATTTGGTTTTGAAAACGATAATGATGAAGTCAAGCTTTATTTAAGTGGTCAATATATCAGCAGCTCTGAGGCTATATGGAGAATTCAGGCTTTTCCTATCCATGAGAGATTTTCAACAGTCTTCAATCTTTTTGTGCATTTAGAAAACGGCCAGCGTRTTTATTTCAACCCTAATGACTTCCAGTCGTTTAAAGACATGATTAACCATCCACCAAAAACTACTCTTTTAGCATTTTACAACTTATGTAAAACAGATGGTTTTGCAAAAACACTTCTTCATACTGATGTTCCTTCTTTCTATGTATGGAAAAATAATAGATTTGAGAGAAGAAAACGTGGAATTAACGTAAATGGTTGGCCGGGAATAAAAAGAGATCAATCTCTGGGTAGAGGATATACCATTCACCCTAATAATACTGAGTGTTACTATCTTCGCCTTTTACTTCATGAAATCCGAGTTCCTACATCTTTTTTGAAATTTAAAACTGTTAACGGCACAATTCAGCCCACTTATCAGGCAGCGTGTAAGGCTCTAGACTTAATGGAAGAAATGCATTGGAATATAACTATGGAAGAAGCTGTGCTTAGAGGTTGTCCATTTAAATTACGGGAACTTTTTGCAACTATGTTGATACTTTGTCAATTGTGAGATGCTTTAAGTCTTTCAGAAGATATACSACATCAAGTGGAGTTGGATATACAACACGAGAATGTTAACTCAATTATTGATGAAGTATACMATAAATGCTTAGTTCATCTTGAAGATACAGTTCTATCTCTGGGAGTTCAATTTTTGCAACGTTATGGTTTACCTTAGCCATCAAGATGTGAAGCAGTCTTACAAAATAAAGATTAACTTCGAGAGATCAATTATGATTCAAATATTTTGGCACAGTATATAAATTCAAATGAACATTTAATAAATAATGAACAGTCCTTATATGATAAAATATTAGAGGGCATTAAAAAAACCACTGGCCAAACATTTTTCTTAAAGTTCTATAAGACTGTAAATTAATAGTTTGAGATGAATGCACAATGGCCCACAAGGGTGGCTCTGAAGCTCTCAATAGAACATTAAAAGATATAAGAAGATATAATAGTTTGATGGATGGAGTCACTGTGCTGCTAGCAGGAGATTTTCGGAAAACATTGCCCGTTATATCTAGGGGTACAAAGTCTGTATAAGTAAAGTCATGTCTAAAAGTTTTGTATTTGTGGCCACACATCTAGAAAGTTGCACTTCATAAAAATATGCGGGTCCATTTGAAAGGTGACACATAAACCTACTGTGATTTACACTGAGATGTTACTTAAAATAGAAAACGGAAATTTCCCTTCATTGGAAGGTGAAATCACTATTCCCTCAAATTTGAGTACAGTTGTTAGCTCTTTATCAGATCTAACTTCAAGAATTTACCCAGATATAATAAATATCAAKATGAATCCCATCGAATGGTTGTACGATCGAGCCATTTTAACTCCAAAGAATGATAAGGCAGCCGAAATAAATTAAATTCTAATAAAGGAATTAAATGAAAAAGCTGTTGAATATAAATCTTTTGATTCAGTGATCTATTCATTACACTTTAGAATTTCTTAATGCTCTGAATCATTCTGGTCTTCCATCCCATAAGCTTATCCTTAAAATTAGAGAACCTATTAATTATAATGTTACTAAGAAATCTTAACCCACCTTAATTGTGTAATGTAACTAGATTGCAAATTAAAGCTCTGCACAAAAATGTAATAGAAGATAAAGTTATCACAGGGTGTGGAAGAGGAGATATAGTTTTAATCTCGAGAATAACGTAGATTCCAACTTATTATCCCTTTGAGTTTAAAAGAATACAATTCCCACTCGAAGTTTGCTTTGCCATAACTATTAATAAGTCTCGAGGAAAAGCATTGAGCATGGTAGGGATTGACTTGGGAGAAAAATGTTTTTCACGTGGACAGTTCTATGTCGCATGTTCTAGAGTTAGCTCTGCCAGTAATTTGATTTGGTTACGTATTTTAGCCCCAAAAGGATGTACCAAAAATACTGTTTATAAAGAGGTATTGAGATGAATAAAATATGACAATATAAATATATTTTTTTTGGTTTACATAACACCATAGTCCATAATGTATATAATAATGTTACAACGACGTTGTAAAACTTAATTAGTTTTAAAGGTGTTTACAGAAACTTCTATAAAATACATGGGCAATCTAGAATCAACATATCTAAAAGCAGCCTGTAATAAATATAAAAACTGATAAAATAAAAGTAATAGTAGGTAACATAAAAAACTGTACTCGGACGAAGCCTTATTCAGCAATAAAAATATAACGTGCAAGACTCTTTATATTAATATATATATAATTGCTAATATTTTAATCAATACACCAATAATTACCAACAATATTTAAAATATAGCAGCAGTGAAAATGAAAATAACCGTAAACATTTGGGTGATGTAAAAAATTTAAAATCGTAATATAGCAATATCAATTTTTTCTTCTGATTTACCGGGTCCATTGCCGATGCAGTGAAATGAATTCCAACTTTTTTTACAGCATACCTCCTTAGTTCCTTGTATTGATCTTCAGTGAACTCTAAGAAATGTTTGTGTTCACCGTAAGTCGCACCGAAAGAATTTTTACTATCGTACAGTCTATTTCTGGCCAACAACGTAAATTTTTCATTTATGCAACTTTTTTGAAATTTTACACAGTCCGCACCACATTTCTAAAATAATTCAAATCATACAAATTATATATATTATAGCCAAATAGGTAGGTACTATAAAAATAAAATACACATAATATAATACTATGTATAAATGATAGAATATATATATTTACTTTCGCCAATTTGATCAATTTTTTAGCCATCATTATATCACCTTGATGATTTTGTCCTATTTCTGCGATAATATAACATGGGCTTTTAAAATGTATGGATCGACCAAGATTGATTTCAGTTATATATTCGGTATACTCTAATACTGGATAATCGTACGGCATATAATGCGTATAATGTTGCAGTCTATAAGTATTATATTATGAATTTCAATTAATTATCATACAAATGTACAATGGGAGTATAAAATAAATAAGCATAACATTGTTAATACATTTAACATTGTTTTCTTTTAATCAACATAATTAAACGTATTTATTCCGAAAAATGGTGGGACTTTATTTTTAATTTAAAATATCACTTATTAAACTTATTTATGAGCTTAGGTACTTTATGAGAAAAAACAATATAACACCTATAATTATCTATGCATTTAATAAACAATTAAACCTATGCGTTCATTTATAGGCAGGTAAGACAGTAAAAGTTATTGTGAATTAACGAAAACATATAGCATGCCTTATTTCGCTCAAAATCTAATAAAAATATAATACTGTATCTATGCAAAATCTTACTGTTTCGAGTTTGGTCTTTGTCTGATGCCTGAATGATCAAATGGAAAATAAGGAATTATAATAGCATAAAAACGAAAAATATTTTATACAAAGCACATTAAAAAGGCGGGTAAGTCTTGATTGTTGCTCTACTGTACAGTAGGTTACAAGTGAGTTACTGGAATGGATGGAATTAAATTTGAATCCAATGTAATATATCATTGTATACAAAAAAACGATTCTGAACGGAGATAGATAAATTACATTTTATTATATATATATTTTGTCTAAGATATATTATAGATTATTAAAAATGTCCAAATCTTAGATTTAAAAAGAAAAAATTCGCTCAAATATTTTGAAAAATTTACCATGTCTAGGTAAGGCTATATATAATATATGAGTATTATGTAAACAACCCAAACTTCAAGTTTTTAAGAACGTTTTAACCGAATAACAACCAAATTAAAATGGCTAAAATTTTCCGAACTTTAAACCCCAAGGAACAAAATCCAAAATACAACAAAAAAGATCTTTTGTCATTTTTCATTTGAAGCAATATTTCTGGTAGAAAACGTTGTCCATAATTATTTAATATTATAAAATCGTAAAATCGTATGTTTTTCTCCTGAAAAATGACCTCTCTAAAGTACCAGCTCAAGAACATAACCTTTCGGAAAAGATGCTACTCTTGATACTTTTAAGCAAGTTTAGAGGAAAAAAAGTGTTTACAAAATGAAAAAGAAAAAAGAATTAAACATCATTGTAAAACCAATACATTCCTCGCTCCGCTCAGAATCTAAAATATAGTGAAATAATGCATTTATATAATTGAGGTAATTTTTACTAATTTTTCGTTTTTCTTTCCTTCATATATAAGGTGATAATATCACCACACCATAAATAATATGAACAATTAATGTAACATAAAAATAGTGTACTAACTTCTATAATAACAAACACTAAACATAGGCTCGTAAAAAATGACACCTGTGGATCAATCCCCATCCCCATAATTCCACCATACGCTATACATAATAATGCGTTATAGTATTATACAAACTCAAAATAGTTTTCCTTGATGATCGCAATGAGACATCGGTAATGATTGGAATAATTTTAAATAAAATAGTTTTTTTTTTTTTAACTATAATTTCAAAATACAATAAACTTATACAAAAAATACCATCCATTACAAGGTATTAAGTAGGTATTTAATAATAATGTATTATCCGGACGGGCGTATATCGATTCCGCCGATTTTATATCGACTCCGCCGGCTATTGATTCCGCCGGCTACTGTTTATAATATCTACACATCGATTCCGCCGGACACTGTTCATCCCCCCCTTCCCCATTGTATATGTATTTTAAAACGTATAGTCTAATTAGAACGTTTCTAAGTTCATTTATTTAAAATACGTGTCCAAATATTATCAAAAGTAGTTATTTTATATAAATTTTAATTTTATACCTACATACAATTATTACTATCAGTTTATTCAATTTAGACATGTGACCAAATTTAATCAAAAGTAGTAACATTTATATATTTTTATTTTGAACTATATAATTATTATAATTTTATGAAATTTAGATTATATACATTTTATAATATATTCACATATTAATTAGATGATATGAATTTTCATTTTAAATTATATAATTATTATAGTTTTATTCAATTTAGACATGT